GCCCTTGACAAAAAAAAGATACTTTAATGTTTTTGAACATATAAAAAGAGCCTCTCTAATTTTGTGGGATGCTGCAGAAGGTTCCTCTTCATTCATTGTCATCAATATGAATTAAGAGGCCTCACATTTTGTAGACTCTTCCTTAATATTAACAATATAAAAATTACTTTCCCTATTTTTATTTTATTTTCTATTTTATTTCTTTTTAACTTCGTTTATCTCCACTATTTTTTATTATATTTTTATTTATTTAGAGTATAAAAATATTCGTAAAGTCTTACAATATATGTATATAAGAATGGTCATAAACATTTTTACGACCATAACATAATAACTGCACCGGGAATGTATATTTCATTTCTTTTTTTTTTTTCTTAAAAAATTTCTTTTAATTCCCATAAAATTCTCTTTGAATTTGTGTATAAAGGTTTTCTTTTATATTTTCAAAAAATTTTGGGTAAATTTATTTTTATTTTAATTTGAAAAAATTTTTCATAAAATTCGTCCATTTTAAAAAAGTGTTTCAAAAAACCGTTTTTAAATTATTATTTTTTTTACATGTATAAGAATTAAAAGATATTTTTTAAACTTTTCATTGAAGATACAATATAAAAAAGAAATGAATAAAATAATGATTCTTTTTGGATGATATATAAAAATGGATCCTTTAAAATGCGATCAGCACTTAACATTGAAAATTACCCATCAAACTCGTCAAAAAAGCGAAAGTGTATACTGTATAGTAATAAAGTAGTCTTTAGAATATTACCTTATTAATAGCTTCTTTACATTCTAAATTTATCATTCATACATAATTTTCGTAACATCCTCTAAATTAGAACTTTAGAATTGATAAAAAATTAATATTTCGCTCTTCAAAATCACGAATTTTTTTTTATTTTTTTCATTTTATTTTTGTCACTTGTAAAAAACGTTTGGAAATCTAAAATAAAAAAACGAAAATTGACCATTTAATTACATGCATAAATTTTAATTGTCTACAGTAAATATTTAATATCAGTATTGTTTAATAATTTAAAAATTTAATGTTTAACTATTATAATTATATGGTAATTAAACTTCTTGATATTTAAATAAGAATTTTTTATATAAAAAGTTGGGTTCAAAATTAATTAATTATTATTGTTATTTAAAAAATTCGGCATTTAGTAAAGTAATAATTATCTAATCAAAAAAAAGTTTTTTCTTCAATCAGTTTTATTAATTAGTTGATAAATTTATTTTTTAATACATTAATTTATGATCGATTTATTATAGTAGATGAATTGTTTTATTAATTTGTTAATATAATTAATTTTTAAAATTTTTATTAATTCGTTGATCAATAAATTTGTTAATAAATTAATTTATTAATGAATTTATTAATGCGTTAAATTGGTAATGAAATATTTTAATATTTAATTTTTTAATCAATTTATTTATAAATCAAATTATGAATTTGTTGACGAATAATTTCATTAATGTATTCATCAATTAATTTATCAGGTCTTTTTTTAATTAATTAATTCAATTAATCAAATAATTCTTTAATCGATTAATTTATTAATTGACCAATGAATTATTTAATTAATTAGTTCAGCAAATAATTTATTATTTCACTAATGAATTATTTTATTAATTTGTTAATTAATGTAGAAGGTTATGAATTGAATCATTCATTCTTTAATAAATTAGTTTATTATTCAATTAATTTATTTTATTTAAACGTTAATCCGTTAATTTATTAAAATATTACAATTCTTTTATTAATTCGTTAATTAGTTAATTAATTTGTTGATCAATTTGTTTGTTATAATCATAAATTTGTTAAATCGTCAATTATTTTAATAATTCATAGATTAATTAATTTATTAATTCGTTAATTAAATTAATTCATTAATTAGTTAATTTAAACTATTGGTTTGTTGTAATAATTAGTTCATTTAAATAATTATAGTTTGTTATAACAAATGAACAATAGTTTATAATTTTATAGCAATAGTTCATTGATAGAATTAAGAATTCGTTATCCAATTAATATTTAATCGAGAATATAATTAATTACTGCCATTTTCCCATAAAATTTTCAAATTCTTCTTAATAATAACATAATAATCATCATCAAAAGGTATACATCCGCTTTGATGCTGCATATATTTACGCCCGAAATTGTGAAATGGCCGTGAAACAGTTGTTCCATCCCAAAACAATCTAAACTTCCGTGTACTTAATTAGCTGGCATCATAAATCAAATACATATGATTTGGCAAATATATATCTAGATGCATGTGTGTTATTTTATTTTCACTGTAATTAGCATCACGTCAGCATATCATTGAAATCCTTAAGGCTCATTTTATCAAAAATATATTATACTATATAGAAGTTCTCAAAGAGATAATCGCGTCATTTTAGATCCAAGGTTAAAATTTTATCTGTCTCGATTCATATAATTGACCGCATCTGTAGTAAAAGGAGAAATTATAAATATTTTTCAATTTTTAGATGAAAAAAAAATGAAATAAATAGGTAGAATTTCGTAATGCTATTTTGACATATCTTATTATAGGTCCATAAATAAGTGTTTAATTAAACACTTATATATCCAATATCTTCATTTAATGTATGAGATTATTATTTTCAACAAAAATTTGTTACCTTTTTTCAATTAAAATTCCTGTGAAGTACGTCACTGTTTTCAAATTTTAAGATTTTCACCTTTATTTGATGAATTCATTCTCTATTTGAATATTGAAATATATATAATTATTAACTCAATCCAGTTTTTATGAATACTTTTTATATCGAAGATGTTCTTAGTAATGAAAATATTTTATGTAATTGAAACATTTAATTTTTTTTTTTGAAAAATTTTTAAACGTACGTTTTTGCATTACAATTATAATGCAAAATGTGCAAATTATTTGCATATGAATATAAAAAAGAATTGGATTTTTTAAACTAAAAATAAAAAATGAACATTCTTTCTTTTCGCAAGAAGAAATTTAGAAACTTATAAATAATTTATAGAATGTGAAAAATAATTCATCTTTTATACATATATATGTATAAATGTAGACATTTGTCGATACTTTATAAATATGAAAAAGTTAAGTCAATTTGTAAAATTATATAATCAAACAAATGTAATGTGTACCAACAAATATTTCCTTTCTTCACTCAAAAAAAAAGGTTTCAAATTTTCTTGATACGTTTATAAAGATTGTTATTTTATTACTGAAGAAAATATACAATTTGAATGTTGTTCAAATAAAAGCTTTCACACCGCCCTCGTGTTTTTAGTGATACTGTATTAAACTTTTACGGATGAAAAGACATGATTATAAAACCTGATATGCATAAGACGGCTGCCTCTTGTCAAGATTAAAAAATAAGAAAAAGAATTGAAAAGATGTCAATATGAATATATACTTGTATAGTAAGAAAAAGGAAAAGCAAACTGGATTACTTAAAGAATATTTTCAACATCCCTTGTCAATCTTTTAAAATAAATTTTTATTGATTTTTAATTTAGTTCATTATTAAATTTATTTTAATTCATTACTAAATTAATTTCATTTTAAGTTTTAATGAATTAATTTAATTAAATTTATTTATTCAACTTGAACTAAAAAAATTCGTTCCAAAGATTTTAACTTGATTCTTATCAATTAAATATTTATTTATATTATAATGATTATTATTGTCAATAAACAAATGAATTTATGGACAAATTATTAAAATAATTAATTAAAAATTTAATAAATTTAAAGATCAACGAATGAATTAAATAATTCGTAACCAATTATTAGATAAAATATTTATTTGTATCAAATATTGTATTGTCATAAATGATTTAATAAATTAATTGATAGACCAATTATTAAAACAATTAATTAACAATTTAATAAATTTAAAGATTAACGAATCAATAAAAAAATTAATTAATTTATTTTTAAATTTGCACAAAATTTAATATTTAATTGATTTTACTTTAATTTATTCAGTTAATTCTATTTTAATTTTTTTATTAATTTTAATTTCAATTATTTATTGAAATGAAACTAAAAAAATGAATTCAAATAATTATTTACTTGATTTTTTTCAAATATATATTCATTTGTAGGAATAGGATTATTATTTGAGTCAATTAAGTTTTATTTCTTTTATATATACAAAAAATTGTTGTCCCAATGCGCTTCATTTAACTAAATTGAAAAAGAAGGTAAAAAACTCAAAAACATAATTAAATGAAGAAATATTTTTTTCCAATATTCTATTATTATTTGTATCATTTTTTTAATTTAAACTTTGACAATTGCACAAAAACCTTTGAATTTTATAAATGTTGAAAAAAATTTAAATATAGGATATCTTTATATATAGGTTAAGCTATAATAGAAAAAAATATTAAACATACATACTTATAATAATATATGTGAATTATTATACACACGACTGTTTATGAATAAAAATAAATTGTCACAAGAAAAAGGAATAAAAACAATTTTAAATTAAAGTTACTGGAAAATGTTAAAAATTAGAAACGAAACTAGAAATATAGGGTAACATTGAAAACTAATCATAATGATAATTAATTGTTCGATATATATCACAATTTTTGTTTTTAACATTAAAACGGTCTTTTTTGTCTGAATGTTGCACGTTTTTTTCAAAAATGAGAAAAAAAAGAAAATACACTATTTTTTCGAAAGAAAAAGAAATGTCAAACGCAGTGGCTTAAGGATAACTAAGGAAATAGAAAGTCAAATGGGAAATTGGAGAGATTCCCACCTCCAGAAACGATCAAATCTATACACAAAATATTGAAATTGTTCCTAAAGATGTCCCGTGTTGATGATGATGGTGGTGGCAAAGCCAGGCGAAAACCCATTTAAAAATCTAGTTCTGCCAATGCCACATGATTACGAAATAATTTTTTGGAGGGAGCATCTCCCAGTATAAAAGGTTCAAATGAGTCTGCACTGACACTCATCACTTCATCGAACTCCTTAGGATCAACATGAAGCTCTTCCTTCTTTCGGTGGTGAGTTCAATATTAAAAACAAAAAACATCTAAAAATTATTTTTTATTTTCTCTCAATTGGGTTTTCTAATTTTCTACAAAATTATTTTTTTATTAAAAAAAAATTAATATTTCTATAAAAAAAAAATAGACAGCATGTATTAAAACATTAGCATATTTTTATAGTTTAATAATTAAAATTTCTTTAATTGAATTTTTTCGATCAAAATTCTTCCAACAAATTAAAATATCACGAAAAATGTTTTATTTCAAAATAAAGGGCAAACTAATTTCTTTTTAACTAATATTTCAATTTATCAATCAATTATTAGTAATTAATAATATTAATTCAGTTTTTTATAAGTTTTAAATATAAAAAATATTTTCGAATTAAAAAACACCAGTTAGAAAAAGTCAGATGAAAAGAAACCAAAATTTAAATATTTATTTAACAATGTAGTTATATTTAGAAATGTTTATCTAACTTTTAGAGAAAACAATTATAAATTTAAATTAATTTACCGTGTAGTTTATAAATTAGATATAAAGTTTGTACCCGGTATCAAATTGAATAATTTCTTCACATCCTGACGTATATGTAAATTATTTCTTTCTCCTCATGAAAATGCATCTTACACTTAACCGATTTTGGGGAATCTTATCAAATTTAATTTTCTATTTCTAATCCAAAGCACAAAATTTCCAATTTTTGTCAAAAATATTTATATGCTGTTAAACTTTCAAAAGAAAAAAATAATCACTAAAAAAATGTATCTGCTAAAGGTTTCATCGTTCCCAAAACTTGGAAACATATTAATCTATCCTATTATGAAATCATGAGACCTTTTCGAATTTTAATCTATGAATTATAATCTTTCGTATTCTTTTAATGAATATATAAAATTATGCTTTCCAATTAAATTGGAACGAAATTATTCAGACTCTTTTTTTTAATAATGTCATCATATCCAATGAATGTATTCAAAAATATTTATCAGACAAAGTTGAAGATGCATTTTTTAATTCGATGAATATCGTGAAACGTAATCATGGTCAAAATTATGTAAAGGTAATCTTCAAGGCCACATTTTATTTCGTTCGACACGTTCCACTTTCGGTACATTTCTTTTTTAACGAATTTGCACCTCTTACGTGCGTGTCTATCTTCCTGCCTCTAATCCTTTTACTTTCGGAACTGAAGCACATTCCTTATTTAAATTAGCTACGAATTTTAATTAGGTTTTATATTCAAACAAAATTGAGAAAAAAAGAGTAAACCCTTTGAAGGAATTAAAACTTTAGGAATTGTTTTTGTTAATTAATTAATTTATTATTTTATTTTTGTTTTGTTTTGTATTTTTGATGATAGATTGATTTTTTCTTTTTAGGTATGCCTTGTGGGCACGTCTCTTGCCGTCCCGGTCTCAAGAGCGAGGAGAGACATTCTTCCTGGTGATCCACGATATGGTACCGATTACCATCACAACCATCACCATCATCATGAAGAACATGCTGAAACTAAGACCAACTCTGGATATCATTATCATGCCCCAGCTCCAGCTCCCGCTGCAACTGAAACTCATCAACTCCCAACTCAATCATATGGAGTTCCTTTCCAACCAATGAGACAGCAACCAGCTCTTCCTTCAACTTCCTACGGAACCCCAGTTGTTCACCAACAACAATACCAGGTCAGATGAAACTAATTCTATTGTATGATCTTTCCTTCCAGAAAACAAAAATGTCAATTTAGTTATTCATTTGTTTTTCATGTATTTTTCACGAGATTCTCGCTTTTCTCGATTTTTGCCAAGCGATACATAAATTTATCACTTATAATTATCATATCGAAGATTGAAAAATGTCAAATTTTAGGCTCCAGTTGTCCACCAAACTCAAGCTACCGAATCGACTCATCACGCTGAACACGTCCATCATGTTCAACAAGCACAACCTACTCAGCAATACGGAGCACCAGCCCAACAAACCGAGGCAGCGCCTGCTCCAGTTCCCCAAGCTACCTTCAGTTCTTTCGAAGTTCCTCAACAAGTTCAACACGTAGAATTCCAAGCTCACCAACAAGCTCTCTACCAAGCCCCACAACAGGAGGCTCATGTTGAATACCAAGCTCCCCAGCAGCAACATGCCGAACATCATGAAGCCCAACACGTTGAACACCACGAAACTCAGCAACACCATGTTGAACACCAAGAACCCCAGCTCCACCACGTTGAACACCAAGAACCCCAGCACCACCACGTTGAACACCAAGAACCTCAGCACCACCATGTTGAACACCACGAACCACAACAATACCACGTTGAACACCAACATGTCGAATACCACGCTCCACAACCTCAAGCCACATACGGTGCTCCTCAACATCAACAACAGCAAGCAACTTTCCAGGCTCCTCAAGCTACATACGGTGCCCCTCAACAACATCATGCTCAACAACAACAGCAAGCAACTTTCCAGGCTCCTCAAGCCACATACGGTGCCCCTCAACAACATCATGCTCAACAACAACAAGCAACTTTCCAGGCTCCTCAAGCTACATACGGTGCTCCTCAACAACACCACGCTCAACAACAACAACAACAACAACAAGCTACATTCCAAGCTCCACAAGCCACATACGGTGCTCCTCAACAACACCATGTTCCTCAACAACAAGCAACTTTCCAAGCTCCTCAAGCCACATACGGTGCTCCTCAACAACACCATGCTCAGCAACAACAACAAGCAACTTTCCAAGCTCCACAAGCGACATACGGTGCTCCTCAACAACACCATGCTCAACAACAACAACAAGCAACTTTCCAAGCTCCACAAGCCACATACGGTGCTCCCCAACGTCAAGCTCCTCAACAACACCAAGCAACATTCCACGCTCCTCAAGCCACATACGGTGCTCCCCAACGTCAAGCTCCTCAACAACACCACCAGGAACATCACCACGTTGAACAGACCCATCACGTTGAACATCACGCCGCACCAGCACCTCAAGTGATCAGACAATACTTGGCTTCCCAAGCCTCTCACCAAGTACAACACACCTCAAGACAATACATCGCACCCCAGGCTTCTCAACCAGCTCGCCAAGTTGCTCAAGCCACAAGACAATACTTGGCTCCCCAAGTTCATGCCGAACACCACCAAGAACCAACCGTCAAGGAAACCATCCACTTCGAGGCTCCAATCCAGTCCGTCGAAATTCCAATTGCTGAAATTGAAAGCCATGAGCCAGCAACCACCAGTGATTCAGTCAGTATTGAAGCTATCGGCAAATCCAGCAGTCACGAGAGCAGCCAGAACTACTCCCATGATGGTGGATACGTCTACTAGGAACTTTGTTTTTCTAACTAATTATTATTTTTTTTTAATTGACTAAAATGGAGACGAAGAGAAACTAATTAGGATCTTAAAGTGTACAAGTTTTCAATACCAAAATGAAGGAATGATGAGTATGAGTGATAGTTACAATTTTTTTTACAAAGACTTCTAGCAAATAGTAATTAATTTACAATCAAAATGATCCTAATAGAGATCTGTCTTCATTTGTTCTTTTTTTTAGAAAATTTAGTTATTTTGTGTTTGTCTTTGATAGCATGCAAGTTTCTTGTCTTGTCTCGTTTCTTTAATTAAAGAAGGCGAGCGAGATTGTTAAGAAAATGAAACATGTGATTTTTTTTACATAAATAAAATATTTTTTATGATAGAACTTGATTTTTTTCTTTTCCAACATATTTCTTTTTACGCACTTATTATTATTATTATTATTATTATTATTATTATTATTATTATTATTATTATTATTTATAATTAATTGTATTGATTGTATTTATGTTTTTCACTTATTTCCTTTCTTCTTGACTTATTTCTCAGGAACATAGTTACTTTTGAATTGATTGCAATATTAAGCACTTTAAAATAATTTTGCCATTATAAAAGATTTTTTTTTATTTTGCATCTTGATGTTTTTAATTTTGATCACCATAAACTGCACTTCTTTTCTGGATTCATTTTCGATCCTAAGGGACAGTTCCAAGCTGAACTGAATTCTTGAGAATTTCTCAAGACACCTTTTAGTCGAATATGACCTGGAGAATGTGAATCTTGCAACATCCACTTTAAGGATGAGGTTGTGTAACTTTCACACCATAACTGAAACAATAACAATTTTCCTTTGTTTTGAATTTTACTTTTTTTTTTTTGAAAAAAGATTGCTACATTGACAATGGGGTCGTTAATATAGATTTGACAAATTTTTTTTAGTTTGCTGACATTTAAAGATTTTTTGCAATAACAATTAAAGTAAAGAACAAAACATTTTGTAATAACAAACGAAATTTCTTAGTTTTACATTGGAAAAAATTAATTTTTATGAAATAAACGATTTTATTTGATTAACATTAATAATAATTAAATGATCGATTATTTTATTAACATTAATAGTAATTACTTAATAGATTGTTTGTTTGATATTAAATAAACATTTAAAACAAATAAGTTTTTTTTTCAATGAAATAACCACTATTCGTAATTAGTTAATTAGTTTTCTCGATAATTATTTATTATTTTATTACTCTTAATTATTATCTCCAGTTATTAGCACGTAATCTTGCAACAAGCTTACGGCAAGATTGTTGCCTAAAAAAAATTTATTTGATTGAAATGATCTATTACTTGTCTATTGTCAAATAAATGTTTACTTGAATCCAATAATTTCTATTTAAGCCAATTAAATAGTATTTGAACAAATAATTTCATTATTTGAAGGAATTACCATTTAATTGATTTAAATAAAAATTATTTCATTGAAGTGAATATTTATTTGATAACAGGCAAGAAATCGGTTATTGAAATCAAATAAATTCTTTTTTCAGTGTAACAATATTGTTTTAAATTTAAATTAACCAATTTCTTAACAATTTTTAAATTTTTTGTTTCGATAATAAGTTTTTACAATAAAATTCTTTTTTTACTTAAAAAACCAACTTTTGTTGTTAAAAAGTTTTAATTTTCATTTATTTTAGAAATATTTGCTTTAGGGATTTTCTTCAATATAAGGAAAATTTTTAGTACTTTGAAAAAAGAGTTTATTTAAATCAAATAATGAATGTATTTGGTCTAAAAATTTGTGTATTTGGAGCAAATAGTGTTTAATTAATTTAAATAAAAATTATTCGACAATACAAATCAATATTTATTTGATATAATAATATTAAAATAATTAATTATTTGAATCAAATAAATTTTGTTCATTGTGTAAATAATGAATAGGTTAATTCGCTTTTTTTAAAAAAATAAAGTTTAATAATTATTATTTTTTGATAGTAAAATTTTTAATTTAAAAATTTTTTAAGAACATTGAAAATTTTCTTACATGCGCAAATCCTAGAAAGAGAAGTTGCTCGTGGGTGAGATTTGTAAATCCTGAAATTTGATTTTCTTTTCCGTGTCTCTTTTGCCATCGTTTATAGGCGAGAACCGCTTCTTTTAATCCGCTATTGTCGGCAATATTCTCCCCCAAAGTTAGTTCCCCATCAACGTATTCATCAATCTGAAAAATTTATTAAATAACTTGAATTTATTATACTTTTGGTTTTGATGCATCGAATTCAGAAAAACTAATTCTTCAAATAGTTAAACAACATTTTTTGTTAGGTTACTTAATTTTTACTTTTACACGGAAAGAAATGTAAAGTCAATTTTACTACCCTTTTACACCCATCAGAGAAAAGGTATATTTGGCTCAGAACCAACTAGACTTTTTATTTGTTTTAAATAAATTTTATTTAGTTTAAATAAAATTTTATTTGATTGAAATATATGTTTTATTTATGTCGAATAAAATTTTTATTTAAAACAAATAAAAAGTCTAGTTGGTTCTGAGATAAATATACGTTTATTTAACTTAAATCAAATATATTTGGTTTAAATAATTATTTTCTCTGGGTGTATAATAAAGTCTAAACTGCTTGGAATATTTGTTTATTTTTTTAATTTTAAAAGTAAATTTTAGCATTCATTAGTAAAAGTTGATATAACAGATTTATGAAAAACTTTACAGGTAGCTTAAGTTTTTACTATAAAATATAGTAAAAAATACTATTTTAACAGTATAGTAAAACTTTTAGAAATAATTTAAATTGTACTATGATAGTATAGTAAAAGTTATTATATGTGTTTCATTTTTAACTTAAAATTATCAATTTTCAACGAATTGGTACAAAAAATTCGATCAAATTTTTGTCATCAATTTGATCCGCTTTGGTACCAATTTTATATGTACTTTCAAGAAAATTGCTTTGTTCTGTGTGTAACAATAATTTCTTTTTTGGTACAGAATGCTCCAATCAAATTAGTATCGTAAGTTGAACAAAAAATTTTGTTGCCTTAGCTATTCCCATGTAGAAATTTAACCATGGCCCAAATCGGGGCCAGATCTTTTGATCATTGTATAGGCCATAACATGGCAATTTCTACACGGGTTGCTATTACACTGAGAAAACATTATACTTAAATGAAACACAAAAATAATGTTAGACGATTTTGTTTAATTGAAATTAGTTTGTAAGTTTAATCTCAATATATATAAAATATCTACTAAATTGATTCAAAAGTATTATTTGTTTGAATAATTATATTTAATTCAAACATATTTTCTGTTACGGTTTAAACAAAAATTATGTTTAAAAATTTTATTTTTGAATCAAACTTAAAAGTTGACCACAGATAATTTAAAATCAATTACAATTTATGTTTGATTTCAATATATAATCTCTTAAACTGAACCAGAAAATATGTTTGAATTAAACTTAAATATGTTTGACTGTATAGCAAAGATATTTTAAGTTTGATTTAAACAAAATTTGTTTGAATCAAATAATTTCTTTTCTCAGTGTAATAAATTAATCTTTATTATTACAAACCTCTTCTTCATAAAAACTGTTGTATTGTTCAACGAAACATTTTGTTCTTTCCTTATACTTTTCTATGGTGTCCTTGGTCCACCACTGACGAACGTTTCCATCACCATCATATTGTCTTCCACTGTTGTCAAAACCGTGAGTTAACTCATGACCAAGGACTGTACCAATGGCTCCGTAATTTAAGGCTCTGCAATTAATTATCATAATAGATTTTTTCCAATTTCATAGTCCGATATATATCTTGTTTTTTGTCTAATGTACATTTAGTTTTTATCGACTAATCTAAATACATTAAATTAGTAAATGAAGACTATTAAGCATCTGACACTATTTGTAAATTAATATAAATGGTTGCATGCAAGATATAATTTATATATTGTCGTAACTTGAATTTTTTTTTCTAATATTTATACATCACCGAGTATTTTTTTTTTTGTTTTATTTAAAAAAATTTTTTTTATTCTTTTATTCTTTTTTATTTATTAATTTTCTATTTATTTTTCATTGACAATAGATAAATTTTGTTATATGCAAATAGCATTTCTTACTCGAGACCCAAATCGTAAAACGGAAATTGCAAAATTCCGATTGGTATGGCTGCGTCCGTATCGGAAAATTCGTATTATGTTTGGAATAACTTTATACTTAAAAATACTTATAAATAAATAAATATAGTAATAAATAAATTGCTACTCATAAGTACTTTTTTAACAGTTTAAAATTACATTCAAATTAATTAATAAAATTTAATTATAATTTTTATGACTACAAAAACTTACTGATTTGATTGGCTTGGAAAGTGTGAAAGGCATTCACGTTCGTTGGATCAGTAGCCCAACTATTAAATCAAATTAATGACTAATTAGTTATTTTTCTTAAAATTAATTCTCCTCTTTATTACTTTTCATCATATTTGATGTGTGACATTCTAATTTACTTCAATAATAAATGCAAATGATCGTAAATTATTATTAAGTAATCAAAATACAGTAACTTACTATGGTTCATCATCGGAATTTAAATCGTGAAGATTCTTTAAATTTGAAGTACTCTGAATTCGAACTATTTGCATCATATTTGCCATGTATTCAATAACCGACAAATCTATCTGAAAGTAGACAATGGGATAATTAATAAGTAATTAATATTATTAATTAATTATATTATTATTAATAAATTATAATATAATTATTATAATTTTATTATTTCAATACTTTAAAATATAGACAATTTCTACGTACACCTTCATAATAATCATTAAGATCGTTTTTATTAAAAAGCCAACGTGGATAACCAATTAGAGATGACATTTTTTTGTTTTTCTCTAATGTTGCCGTTTTCGTTTGTCCATCCATCCAATCGGAGTCAATTACCATTGATGCAAAAGCTTCTTTAATATCGTCTACCATTTCTTTTACTTTTGGTTCAGTTTCATTGTGAAATTTTCGTTCGACAAATAACCAGGAAACAGCCATTCCTTAACAAGAGAAAATAATGTTTATCAACTAAAAAAGTTTGCAAATTTTCAACTCTTTTAGCTTTATCTGAAAATTTTTTATATTAAAAAATTACAAACCCATTAAATCATTCACAGCCGTTGCACAATTCATCGATCTCGATTCGCCAATTTCAACTTCCATTATTTCGTCTAGATAAGTGGTCCAAATTTGTCTTAGATCCTTAGAAGCAAACGGTGTTATGACGTCTATAACACTCCACCAAATAACTGTTTCTGAAATAGGAAAATTTATTAAACTTTCTTTAATTATTTATTACCAGAAGGGGAAATCAATAATCAATGAATTGTTGTAAAGTTACCTAACAATTCTTCTTCTGTAGAAGATAATATATAGGCAATTTTTTTCAAATATTCTAAATCTGCTACCAACACAATATCTTTTTTATTCAATGTTATGATATCTTTAAAAACTTCTTCAATAAATGGTCTCCAAATTACTTTTGGTTTCAATGACGAATTAAGAGATTTGACATACTCGTCTGTTAGTTTTTGTAAATCCTCCATTTCCATATAATCTTCATCCGATAAGTCCTCCTCCGTTATTGTTGTACTATTTTCTGCATTTCTCAACTAGAACAAAATAAAATTTATTTTTTGTTATTGTAGTTATTTTTTCGTCTCAGGTTAAAATAAGTAAATTATGTAGTTAATAATAATTAAATAACTAAAATTAGTTAAATAATTAATAATTAGCAACAAATAATGGATAATTATCAAAATTAGTTTAGAAATTATAAAGAGCAATAATTAATAAATAACTAAAATTAGATTAGAACTTCTAATAAATAAATAACTAAAAAGTAGATTAAAATTAATTAATAAATAACAAAAATTAGTTTAGAAATAATAAATTTCAAAAATCAATTTGCAGTTATTAATAAAAAAAGTCATTAAATAGCAATAATTAACAAAAAGTAATGATAAATAAATAACCAAAAATAATTTAAAAATAGGTAATTAAAGCATTTTAATAATTAGTTTTTGAAATAATAATAATATTATTTGTGTGTTGAGAAATTAATTTACCTTATAAAGTACCTCACCAAGATCATAAATATGATTAACCACAATATTAACTTCACTTTCGCGAGCAAAGGAAGACAACGTTTTTGATTTGCAACTTCTATATTCCACTGTTCCGTTACTAATCACCTCTTTAATTGCATCAATCATATAATTTTTTTCTATCGTCGCTGAAGCTTGTTCCAATTTTAATTCATCCTCTAAATTTAGCATGTGATTTTTAATTTTCTGTAGACGTAGTTCTATTTCCTTGTCACTGTAAATAATTAGAATAAATAATTTTTAAGACAATTTCAGGAATATTCCCATAAGCAGCACGTAATACATAAATGCGATATTTATTTGTTAGTAAAAATTTTTTAGTTGTGTTGAAAAAAATTCTACACCTTTTAGTTATTTAAAATTAAAAAATTAAAAAAAAATTTAAAAATTTAAAAAAATTTAAAAATTATTTTATGAGTGTTACTTTCTCAGAGCTTTTAAACATGATAACAAATATTAAATAATTGTTACTACTTACAAAGAAAAACTTAAACTTTCTGTCAACCTGTACTATTTCCAGAATAAATTTTAAAAAGTTGAAAGTCTATTTTATTAATATTTTCTAAAATTTACTTTGGATATTATAATTTGCTCTGGAAATGACGATCTTCAATAGCAAATTTTAAAGGTAAGATTGAAATAAATACTTAATTTTACAATTTTTGGAGAAAATTTTACCAGGTCCGAAATAAAGTTTACTAATTTTCAATAAAATTTACTATACGGATATTATAAAATTTAACTCTGGAAATAACGATTTTTAATGACAAAATTTAATATTTCCACAGTTAATTTTTGTTTTAAAATTATTTTAATTTTCTTCTAATGTAGTACAATTTGTTATTAAAAAGTTTTATTTACAGAGTAATTTTATTAATTCTGAAGTAAATTTATTAATTTTTATAAAGAAATTTTTTTAGGACGTAGTAAATGTTGTTTTGGAAATAAACATTATTAATATGTACCTACTAAATTTTACTATTTTTGGAGGGAATTTTAGTAAGTCCGAAGTAAATTTTTCTGAAATTTTCTTCGGATATTATTAAATTTACTCTGTAGATAACGATTTTTAATAGCAAATTACTATTTTTTTAAACAAAAGTAGTGTTCTAAGAAAAATTTAGAAAAATTCCAGATTACGGAAAAAGATAAAAAAAATATCAGTAAGTAAACAGTTTGGTTTAAAGAAGCTGCAATTAAGAGAAAAAATAAAAAATCTTCAAAGTTAACTGTATACGCTATAGTACTATAATTTTTTACCTAATTTGAATAATTCCCTTCGTTTAAACTGAATCCCCTTTTTAAAAATTAAAATCACCTTTTCAATAAATATTAAGAAACTCTAAAATGACATGAAAAAATTACTGTGATCCTGGACATCTTTGTAATATTCGAAACGAATATTATAATGATCTTAAGGTATCATTTACGTGCTGCTTAGGTTAATATTAAAAACGAATTTGTAGTTATATTAATTTGTAGTTTTTATAATGAAAAAATAACATACTTTGGAAATGGAGTCTCTGTTGTTGGAGTGTCGAGAATTATAGTATTTCGAGATTTATTCCTAGGATCAGGATATACATCCATGCCGAAAAATATATCCTTTCCGAGAATACGTTTAACCCTTGCCATTTGCCGAACAAAGTTTGTCTTCTTTTTTGTGAAAGCTGCAGGAATTTGCGGCAAATCTAATTCCTTCAGCAAACTCAACAAAGGCACTAGTCCCCAGGCATTTATGGAATCTGAAACAATAGAAAGTTTGTAAGTTTTGTAGGATTTTTTTTTCAATTAAAAATTGCTTGATAAAATAAATATATTAAGTTGAAAATAAATAAATTGTGTTCGTAAAAAAAATGACATTTTAGTTTTTATTAAAGACTTTTTAATGATCGATATTATTATAACAGTTTATTAATAACTTTTGAAGAACTTATTTGAAACTGCAAACAATTTTAACTGTAAATATAGCTATGAAATTGAAGAATTTGCGTTAATCCGTTATACAGAAATCTCAAAGAAAGAATTAATTGACAGTAACAGAAAATATAATTTTGTGCAAAACTGACCTAAATCCATGCAACTTTTGTACAATGTCTTTGCCTGTTCAACAGCCCATGGAACGTGATCAGAGGAATTCTCTCGCAACAAGTCTCTAATCACTCTTGTTACTCTCTTACTTCTTTCACTAAACCAGGAATTGGTTAAACTACTCTCGGGTAATGGATGTATTTCAGGCCATCTACCACAGGCGTACCTATATGTGTACATAGAAGCAGAGACGTTATCTTAAATGTGCACTGACATTTTATGCACTACATAGACACGTGTATAAAGAAATAACTGTATACAACTTAGAGGAAGTAAGCGCGACTATAGTTTATGTATATTATATTATATTCATGATGTAAGCTTTCAGTTATGTATTTAATTCACACCACTAACAATTTCACATAGTTTATAATATATATACTACTTATTCACAACACTGTTGTACATATCTTTATAAATATCATATTGCATAAATACTTTCTCCGTAAGAAACAAATCTATCAATCTAATTATTTGTTACACATTTTGAAAAGAAATTTTTTACTTTTCTTTTCGTGGAAAAAACAATGTTATTTTCCTATACCTACAGATAGTGGAATGTAATCTCTGGGAAATTTGTCCACTTTTTATCGTAGTTTTTACTCTTTCCGGAGTTAATTTTAATACTTCCGGTGTTAATTTTATTATATCCGGAGTTAATTTTATTATTTCCAGAGTTAATTTCGTAGTGGATTTAGTTAATATACTCCAAAAGGTAGTAACAGTTGATAGAAGTGCCCGAAAATTTGAGACAGTTTTGATTTTACTTAACGAAAATTGTAAAAATTATTTGACTAAAATAATTTGTTACTGAGCTGGTAAAAGATAAATGGAATTTCTACGAATTTCTGACAACTTTTACTAATTTCAGATTTAGTAAATATACTCCGGAAGTATAATAAGAAATTGATAAAAGTGAGCAGAAATTTTAGACAGTTTACTTTTCACTTTACGAAAATAGTAAAAATTGCTTTATATTTTTTCCGCTTAATGATATACTGAAACAATTAAAATTTTTGTCAAGAAAAATTATTTGACTAAAATAATCTGCCATTTGACTAGTTAAACCTGAACTGTCTAAAAAATTCGTGAATTTTTGTAAGCATCTATTTCTGGAGTCAATTTTCTTTAGTGAATTTAGCAAAAATACTCTTACGGAAGTAGTAAAAGTGCGATGAAATAATTTTGAGCTTTTAAGGTTAAATAATTAAATTATTTATTGTAAAGTTATTTTTTTATTGTACAATTTTTTTAAAAACAAAAAAATTGTAGTAACGAGAAATACTTTTCACGATGAATTTGTTGTTAGGTATATTTAATTAGAGCTGTTGTCAATAGAAATACATATATTTATATTTGTTAAGTAATTTAATTATATGGGATTTGAAAGGAAATTATAATGAAGTGTTAAATTTAAAAAAAACGTTAATTGAAATAAAGTCGGAAATGAGTGTCTATGAAAAATTACATGTATTATGAAGACTGTATTATTAATTCACACCTGAAAAGACAGTTATTAATCACTCAGTTTAGAGAATATTCATGTTTTAATAAGACATTATACTCTTAGAAATATAGAAATAGTTTTAGAAGTATATTAGACATGAAACACTTTTTACTCTCTAAATCTATACTGTAAAATTTGAATCAGTTTAAAATAATTAATTTGGAAATAAAAAACCTGTCACTAACTTAAATTGTAATATTTCTTCTGATCAGCTAGTTAAAAATAATTGATATTTCAGCACTATAACTATTTGAATTAGTCAAATTTAATTAATTTTTTAGTTATGTTTTACTGATAATCAGTCATTTTTTACTGAAAATCAGTTACTTTTACAGAAACAAAAAGAAAGTCATTGATTGTTAAAGTTAAAGTTATTGATTTGATAGTAAAATATCCATTATAAAAAAGAGTTCAACTTTACTCTTTCTATTAATAGATATTTTATTGTTATAAAATTAGTAATTTTATATTACAGCCATAAAGATTCCCAATAATTTATTTTAACTAATTTACATTTTTGGGACAAACATTTTTTTAACAAATACATAAATGGATTAAACACTGGAAAAAATTTATTTAATTTAAATATCCGATCAATTAAAAGGTATTTTAATTAAGTACTGAAAACTTTTAATTCAATTGTAATTTGTTTGATATCAATATAACGATTATTTAATTTAAGTGAATATTTATTTGATAATAGACAAGTAACTCGTTATTTGAATGAAATATAAATTTTTTTCCAGTGTAAACTTTGAGATAAATATATTTTTGTAACTCAAATTTTATTCGATTTGAATTAAAAATTTATTTTAAGATCAATTTTTAAACATAAAAAAAAATTCTCACTCAACTTAACATTTCAATGAAAAGAAACTCCTGTGGATTGTGATAAAAGCAGAAAAATTCTTTCTCAACAATTAAACAAACTCAATTTCATTACACAATGGTAATAAAATTTTCTTAGCGAAATAATCTACAATTATATCAACTGAACCAAAGAATAGTGAATAATAAAAATTTAAAAACTTGAGTAATAATAAGACAAGTGCGAAATATATTTCTAAAAAGAAGTAGGTAAATTTAGAAATTTGCAATTTACTCACTGGTAAAAGTCATCACAAGGATCTACGGAGGTATCCATAGATTCCTTAAGACTAGCAGCTATCGCAATAAATATTTCCGTGAGAATCGATTCAATAAATATTATAGGGAAAAGGGTGAATGACATTAGATTTTAGTATAATTATCTTTTTAATTACATATGCTATATAGAGAGAGAGAGAAAGTGCTTACCAATTCGCACGCAGTCCTCATCTTCACATAAATAAAGCCACTCTATTCTCGAAACTGTAAAATAATGACATTTTATTGAATCTTTAAGAGTCAATTATTTATGCGGGAAAATAAAAAGACTAGCGATTGTAAATCACATTTAAAATAGAATTACAAAACGTTAAGTACGTGAATAAATGAAGAATTAATAAATCATTTTGAACAAAAATTACAATATAATTGCGTCACTTAATTTCTTAATTACTGCAAAAAAGTACTTAATTTATGAGAATTTTTTTAAAGAAGATTTTATATCAGTAAAAAGTGTTTTTAGTTAATGTTTTTTATAAGAAAAAACTTATTTTATCTTTAAATAAAAAAAGGGATTTATAAAATTAAAATAAAAGACCTTTTTATTTTTTTAGTTAATAGATCAATTAGAGTAGTAATTTACTAAAAAAGATAAATGGATATAATACGACAGCCCTCCACAGAAATAAATAACATTTAAAGAAGAAATATTACAATATAAATACATAATGATTTCTAGTAGAGGCTTAATTAATTATCAACTGTATAAAATGTTTTGAAATAATCGATAATGTAAAGTAAATTTATGAAATAAATACTGAAATTCAACAATACTATGAAGCAAAACGAAAATAATTTTTTTCTAAACAAAAATAAAAAGTAAAGTACTGCCAAAAATTTTAAAATGATTCTGCCCCCGGGTAAAATTAAAATTTTTAAATCCTTAATTGTAGGGAATATTTTTTTATTTACATTCTTGAAATATTCCTACAATAGTCTGTTAGAATATTCCTAAATAATCATTTTAGAAATATTTAAATTTCCGACCTTTGGAATAATTTAGGAATATTCCATTAAAATATTGTTAGATCATTCTTTTAGAATTTTATAAAAATATTTTTTTTGCTCATACTATTTGATTGAAATATTCCTGCATTATTCCAAAAAAAAATATTTCTAATATGTTTTACTTACAATATCCCAATCAAATATTTTTACGTTTTTCAAAAGGTTGGACATTTTTATTATTTCTGAAATATGGATGTAATATTCCCAATATACCAATGAAATATTCCAAGAATGTTCAAGAAATGTTCCATGCTATTGGGGATATAATTAATATTATTAGGGTAAAAATATTTTGTTCTGAAAAAATAATAATTACGTAATAAATTATACCCAATAGCACGAAATATTCCATTCATATTCCTGGAATATTACATTGGAACATAAGAAATATTCCAACCACCAATTAGGAATATTATAATAGTCGATCTTTGGAATGTTCCTTTGGAATAATACTCAGAAATATTCCATTGAAATATTTTTATTGGCATATATAGTAGGAATATTTCACTACAATATTATAGAATGATTTCATAGGAATATTACTTTTTAAATTTACAATTTCTTCAATTTAAAAAAAATTGGTGAATTTATTTAATTATGGTGCAGAAATTAATTATATTATTTTCAATGATACTAATAAAAATAAAAAATATTTTTACAAAATTCCAATACAATATTCCTACAATGTTTTAATGGAATTAAATATTCCGTTCTATTGGGGATAAATAAGTATATATAAGTTTGAAATAAATATAAGTCAATTATTATAATAATAAAAATAATAGTAGTTCTAATAATATAATAATAATATATAATATTAATATAATTCTATGAAATATTCCTTTGAAATATTACTTCTATAGTTTAGGAATGCAAACATTTCCGAATTTGGAATAATGAATGAATATTCCATTATTCCAAAGGTTCGACATTTTAATATTCCTATAAAATGTGGCTGGGTGAAATATTCCAGAGGAATATATTCCCAATGTTCGAATTAAATATTCCAGGAATGTGAATTGAATATTTCGTGCTATTGTGGGATAATAGTTATAATCAGAATAATAATAATAATAATAATAATAATAATAATAATAATAATAATTTCTTTAATTTGAAAATAAATTTATATATATTGTCGAGTTGTAGCTGAGAAAGATCAATGACTTCCACATATGTGCGTATATATATTATAAAGCTTAGACGTAAGAAGCTTTAGTTGGAAAATGTCTATGTCAAGGACTAAAATAAACCTTGACAATTAATATTACGTCATTACTTGTTGTAAATCGAAAGATATATTATAATTTTATTTTATTTTTTCTAAAATTGGGCAAACATATTTTTTTTATTTTCTAATAAAGCAAATAAAGTCAGTAAATTATTATAATTATTATTATCATCATTAGTAAATTTTTTAATTTATCACCAAAAATGAAAATAATGATGATCTTTAATTTTATACATCTACCAAAGAAAAGATTCTCAGTAATGCTATATAAAAAATTAATTCGTTATGATTGGAGTGAATAATATGAAATAGTAAAATTCAATTACTCACTGAATAATACAAGACCGATGAGACCTGCTAATAAAAGGATAATGAGAAGAATTGATAATATTGTTGATATTCTGCATTTCTTTCTTGTTTTAAAACTGAAAAGTAAAAAAGTTATTAACCTTTTGTTTTTTTACTTAAAAGTTGTGCATGAAAATTTATAATAGGATTCAATGCTTTATCTCAAATAGTAAGAAATATTCCATTCACATTCCCGTAATATTCTATTAGAATATTGGGAATATTCCATTCTTATTTTAAGAATATTAAAATGTCCGGCCTTTAGAATAATATATGAATATTCCATTGGAATATTATAGAAATATTGCACCCGAATATTACTTTTTAAATTTACACCTTTTCCAGCACAAAATAAATTGATCAACTCATTTACATGACGTGAAAATGAATATATTATCTACAGTACTAATAAAAAATATTTTTACCAAATTCCAATGGAATATTCCCACAATATTTTCATGGGATATTCCTAATTATTCCAAAGGAACATTCTAAAGACTAAACATTTTAATATTTCTAATATAAATTTATAGGAATATTTCCTTAGAATGTTGTAGGAATATTTCATTGGAATCTTGTAGGAATATTTCATTGGAATCTTGTAGAATATTAAGTTGATTGTTAAAATATTTTTACTTTATTACAAAAGAAAATTATCAAAATCGGATATTTTAATATTTCTAAAATGTGGGTGGAGTATTCCCAATATTCCGAAGCAATATTTACAATGTTTTAATCGAATATTCCAGGAATGTGAAGGGAATATTTCTTGCTGCTGAAGTTGGAATATTTGGAAATTTTGCTCTCGTGATAATTAATATATTTTATATTCTTACTAAGTCTTCCTGGATTTTATGGGCACTAAATGCCTGTCGCTGTTGATGGAATATATTGATTGTGAATCTAGTGGAAAAAAGAAATAAATTATTATTTTAGCAACTGTGTCTTAAAATATAACATTGTAACTTTATTATTATTATATATTAATATATTAAATATAAATTAGTTTGTCATTCGTCAGTTTATAAATCTTTGACCCGAATTTATAAATTGCAATCAATGTATAGATATGTAATAATAAATTACTTTCGTTTCAATTATTTATATAAATAGATAAAAAAAGAATTGTGTCGAATTAAATTTAAACTATTAAGTTATCGAATTGTTAATTAATTTTAATAATGTATCTTTTGATAATTAATAATTATTAATAATTAATCATAATAAATAATTAAAAATTTACTAAAATATATGCATATTAATCATTAATTAATAATTAATTAACAATTTAGCAGGAAATGAAAAAAGTGTATTTAAAATTTTGGTTTCTAGAAATTTATTACAATAAATTATTAGTATAAATAATAAGCAGTGAGAAATGTAAAATTTGGAGGGAAGAGTGAAATAATTTAAAATTAGTTACTGTCTTTCAATGTTTTGTTTAGCCGGAAAGGTGAATTTGAGATTTAAAAAAAAGCATAAAAATGTGAGCCTAGCGATTACATTTTAAATTGCATATTACGTTGGGCACATTGCCCGGAACAAAAATAGAATGAAAGTTTACAATTATATATTCTTACCGCGCTGGTTGTTCATGCTGAATGGCCCACTGACCGGATCGAACTGACGACACTGAACGACCTCAAGGGACAAGCAAGTCTCCTATTGCATTCACATTTTCTTCTGATATTGTTAGTTGTTCCTTTAATTCGACCACCTTCATGCACTAATTTTCAAATTCATTATACAAAATTATAATTCCGATAAGTTTTATCTCTTTAATTTTATTCGTTTTCATCCATTTTCGAGTTTTATCATGGAGAGAGTAATTCGTAAATGATCCATTGTATATCTGAAATTAATTTTTTCAATAACTAAATAAAGTAATCAATTTAATTAATTTGGTCGTTAATTAAATTCATTCAGTAATTCATTAAATCAATTCAGTATTATGAATTACTCTTTAAATTTGAATTAGTTAGAAATAGTTATTCTAATTTAATTTAATAATTTATTTAATTTAATTAGTTAAGAATTTGATAGTAGAAAGTCAGTCACCAATATAGTAATATTTTAGTAATTAAACAATAAATAAAACGTAATTATCAGTTATACTTACTTTTAGGTTACCTGTATTATAAAATTTAACTAAAATTGTTGGTAATTAATCCAATTAGTGAAATTTTACTATATGCATTATTCATAGTTACTTATTTACTAATATTTTCTACATATAATTAGTTGTTTTATACTAATTACTAAAAACAAAAAGTCAGACAACAATTTATTAAGAATCAGTTATTTTTACCTAATTCAGATTTGGAGAGTAAACAAATTTATTAGTTAATTATATTATAAGTAATTTATTGAATTAATTTACTCTCTAAATCTGGAATAGCAATTTTCTACTAATTAAATAGTTCGGAATCGTAAATTAATTAAATAGTACAAATTTTACTAACTCTTAGTAAAAAACTAGTCATTGAAATAATGAAACGTTACAATTTTTATTCATAGAAATTATACTTTACAATTAGTGGTACTTTACTAAAAATTAGTAAAGATAATGCTTTAATTTTTAATTGGTAAATAAGCCTGCACTCTTTAAGTAAATTAATGTAGAAGTTAATTTCATTAATTTTAGAAATGAATTAAATTAATTTAATTCATTTCTAAATTAATTAAATGAGCTACTAAATTAGTTTTATTAATTACTGAATTCATTTAATTCATTACTAAATTTAATTAATTACCTATTAAATTTACTAGGTAAAACTATTAAATTTAGTATTTAATTTAGTAGGTAATTAAACTAATATAGCAGTTAATTAAATTAGTTTAGTAGGCAATTAAACAAATTTAGCAATCTACTAGATTAGTTTAGTAGGTAATTCAACTGATTTAATACTTATTTTGATTAATTTTACAATTACTTAAATTAATTATGTACGTAATTAGACTACTTTAGTAATTAATGAAATTAGTTTAGTACGTAAGTTAACTAATTTAGTAGTAAATTTTATTAATTTAATAATTAAATAAAAAAAACTATTAGTCAATTAAACAAATTTGGTAGTTATTTTCATTGTTTCAAAATGAATTAAATATTTTTAGTAGTCAATTAAACTAATTTAACAGTAAATTTGATTAATTTTGTAATTGATTAGACCAATTATTGTTTTTTTTCAAACGAATTGTTCTTTATTTTTCCAATTTTACATCCTTTTGAAAAAATAATTTTTCATCTTGCGAGAACCTTAATTATTTTTTTTACTTAAATAGATTTTATTCCTAGATTTTGTTTAAAGAAAACTTTTTCAAATAGAATAAAGCCTTAAAATGAAAAGTAAACTTTTATGCTTTATTAAAAATCATCTTCTTCGATTAAACGAGACTTTTTCCGTGAGCGACCCTATCTTTATTTGAAATAGAATATTGACTTATTGTTAAATTTTCTAGAGAGCATAATATACCTATCTGTTCTGCAAATAGAAGAACCATGCAAAATTATTCATGAGTATGTTTCCGTTTACCATGCAAAATTATATTTACTTAACAGAAAAAGTTTAATGGGTGTAGGTATTGAAAAAGAGATATTTGATTTTTGAATGGGAAATTTTGAAGTTTTTGAAAAATTATTTTTTTTTCATGGACAAATTTTGAATGTTTATATATTTTATAAATAATATCCAATTTTAATAAATTTTATTTTACATATAAATTATTATTTGGGATCATTCACATATTATGTCACACAAATTTGGTAAACTTTTAACCCCTCCCCCCTTTCGTCACATTTTATTACATAGAAATTAGTAAATTTTATACAGGCCGTCACGAAATTGGGTGAAAAAATTTTCCATTAATTAGGTAAAATAAATTATCATTAATTAGGTAAAAAAAAATATCATTATTATTTTGATCGATGAAATATTGCAGTAGTTGGAAAAATTTTCTTTTCGTCCATTTCTTCTTTCGATATGAGAAATGAAAATTCTTATCTATTATTACTATATATATATATATATATATATATATATATATATATATATATATATATATGTATACCTAGTAATTAAATTAAAGTCTCGTGTGAGAAAAACATGTTTTTACTTAAAGAACATGTCCCATTTTCATTTTTCTATAATGCCAGTTATTCACCAACCTTCTTGTTAGGCAATATTATTCATGTGTGGTAAATAAACCAGTTCGCCAAAATGGTAAACGAATTATCTCGCAGTGGTGCAAGAAAATTATGCTGAGCTGAGAATGCACCAGTAATTGCAAAAAAACATTATACATATATACATATAAGGCCTTCAGGCGAATTTTATTATCCTCCCTTTCAATATGCCTACTTTTGCACTTTTTCTATAAGTTCTTAAGAGTAAAGGAATTCATGGTTCTGTATAAATACATGTACGACTGTATATTCAACTTTTGTATATTCATATTTGCATTTGTTTTCGAAATACAATCGCAAATTACATACGAAAACACTTGAGGTTTATATGTATATATACCGCAGTATTGCAAATAAGAGAAATATATAGCCGTTCTACTGGGAAATAATAAATTTCAAATAATCTGATTCAAGCCAAGAAATTATTTTTAAATATTCTACTTGTGAATAAAAAATTATATTTGCAATATAAATGTAGGAAGAAATTAAAAATTTGTTTTTTTTAAATAATATTTTCTTTGCTTTTTTTGCAAAGAAAATTATCTAAAGCTACATAAAAATGTGCGAAATTAACTGAAATTTTTGAAAATTTTCTAAAAAAGAAATGATCACGTGATGTGCGTACTTTAACTAAGAGAGAGGTGCACATCGCGTGTCTTTAGTGTTTAGATCGATTATATTTGTTTAACTGATATTATCTGACACCAAACAATGATCGTAGTGTTGATTCGGAAATGAGGATGTTCTTTGATAAGAAAAATGAAATGAGAATTGTCGTTTATTGTCAAACACCATGGGAAACTGGTATCACTTAGGCTAATGTTTGTATCGAACGTTACCTTGGCAACTTTCAATTGATTTACCATCTCTGCAATGCAATGTATTTTTGCGAACTGGAGGGGAGATTATTATTTATTCACTAATGTGGTTTTCCTCTTAGTTACTCATTGCTTAATCTTTTTTTGTTTTTTTGCAAATAATTTCTAAATACACAAAAGAGGTCTAAATATGGAAGAGTAATTAGAAACTGTTATCAGAACTGTTAATGTTCTGTACTTTAAAAAAAGGTACCTATAAGAAGCAAAGCATTTTAAGGTTATGTTTTTGTTATTTTTACCTTAATTAAAACTTTTTGTGTAATTTTATAGTACAAAAATCAGTTTTTATTAATTATTTTAGATGTAATGGAGATTTAAACATCAGTGGCTTATATTGAGAGTTGATCCCCTTGGTTTATTTTCATTCCAAAAATTGCAAACATAACCTAAAAATTTGTTTCTTGGAATCACGTCACCAATTATTGTTATATTCGAAACTTTTTCGTCATCTTGAACCCAAAATTTTATTTCTTACAACTGTCAGGATGTTTAATTTGTTATCCAACTTGAATAATTTGTTCCAATTATTATTCTTCTAAAAAAATAGTAACATTCAACCTTCTGTTCTTATGTCTAGACGCTTTGATATTAAATATCCAAAATATTTTCTTCGAATCGTAGAATAAGGAAATCGTTTCTGAAATAGCAGAAAAATTTCTCTTTGAAATATATATGAAGAAATATATACGTATACAACATTTTTTTGTCATGTTTTAAAATAATTTATTAGGAAATGTATTTTTAACGGAGAAAATATAGATAGATTTTCGTTTCCGCATAACAGTGTAGATAGGCACAAACTGAATATGTCTTACACCGAGTTCACTTTGTATACTTACAACTTAATTGGTTTTACTTTTTTGTATAAATAATTCAAAAGCCTCGTAATTTGTAGCTTAAAATACGGAATCTTTAATTTCTATTATATTTAATTAAGATTACAAATCCAATGTCAGTTTTTCAAAATACAAAATGTCGGATCCAATATATCCGACGTCAAAGTTAAAAATTCATTTAATTCCCTTGAAAATCGTTACTTTGAGGTTTTTGGGGTCGCTGATGATTACAAATCCGCTGTCAGTTTCTTAAAATTCAAAATGAAGGACTCAATATGGCAGACGCCAAAGTTAAAAATTCATCTAATTCACTTGAAAATCGTTACTCTGGGGTTTTTGGGGTCGTTGATTACAAATCAGACTTTAAAATTTTTTGGGGTTTCAAAATGCGGTAAAATATTGAACAAAATATTTGTCCTATATGGCTAACAAATTTTACAAAATTCAACGGATTCCTTTCAAACTCGTTGCTTGAGTGTTTCGTTTGAGCAATAAAAAATATATTTAACTTTCGCGAAAGCAGTTCAAAAGCTACTTGCTTAAAAAAAGTATCCAATCATTCTCGAGATTTAGAAGTTACATTAGAGACTGAAGAAACGTCTGAAGAATATGGAGATATTAATCCTTTTCAGGGACAAAATTATTCAAATGATATAGAGCTATCTGACGAAGAGGACAATAATGATTTAGGAATTTTTGTTAGTGCTAACTAAGTGAGAATAATTTTTTAAAATACTTGAAGATAATGACTTAAATTTAAAATAATTATTAACAATACTAAAAAATAAAAAACATGAAAAAGCAAAAGAAAAT